GGCAAAATTCCTTGGGACTCGCTTCCCCCCACTCCCTGGTATACCCTCATGGTTAGAGGGACAAGGGGGTTGGGGGTGGGCGACTACCGGGAAACTTCTCGGGTTCGAGAACGCGGGTGCAGGGGGGCCCGTATTTGTGTGTACATCTCTACTTATACTCGGTTAGATATTGTTATACCCCCTACATTTTTTATTTAAATTTTATACTGTTGAAGTTGGGTAGCACGGCTGTTGATGGAATTTGCCCACGTGCGGGCCCCGGTAGGTAGCTCACTATCTCCCTGTTTGACCACCTTCCCCACATAGGTACCACATCTCCCATAGGAGATAGTGTATTCTAGCTTTGCTAGATCCCTGTACTTTACGTAGCGGGTTTAGTCCGCCCATTTTGGTTTTTGTTGTCCAACCTTCCCCTCCTGTTTTCTTGCCCTTGGTGTTTCCGCTCTCCTTCCTTGTCTTCCCTACGTGTTGCCTCCCCGATCTCCCGTTCTCTGGTGTTCTACTTCTGACTGCTCTGTTCCTGGTGTTTATCCTCCCCTTTCTCCGGCCTATCCCACTTCCTGCCATGGCCCCAACATCACCCGCTCCTGCAGAGCTGCGGCTTTGCACCTACAATGCGAGAGGCCTGAATGTCCCCTCCAAAAGAGGACAGATTATGTATCATATGCATAAAAACAAGGTGAATTTTGTTATGCTCCAGGAAACTCACTTCCAAACTGATCGGGTGCCCACCTGTGCCAACCGGTACTTCACTAATTGGTATCATAGCACTAACATTATACACAAATCCAGAGGGGTCTCCATTGCTTTCCACAAATCTCTTCCGGTAACGGTGTTGGTAGATACCTGTTGCTGAAGCTGTCACTCTGGGGTAGGACCTTCACCCTCGCCAACTTCTACCTCCCCAATACAGGACAAACAACTGCCGCTAGCGACTACCTACAAATCCTGGGAGACTTTGCGGAGGGCTCAGTATTGGTGGGAGGAGACCTTAACCTTACCATAGAACCCAGCCTAGACTCGTCCACTGGACGTTCTGCTGTATCTTTTCCCAAACTACGCAAGGTAAAACAACACCTAGCTCTTCTTCGCTTGATTGTCTGCAGGGTGCTTCACCCTCAATCCCGTAATTACACGCATTACTCTGCACCACACCGATCCTACGGTAGGTTGGATTACTTTTTCATTTCTCACCCCCTACTTGACTGGTCCCCTGATTGCGACATAGGCCCCATGATTTGGTCAGACCATGCAGCAGTCACACTCTCCCTGAAGATCCCTCAGGCCCCCACCAGGGAATGGACCTGGCGCTTAAATGAATCCCTGTTGGCTGACCCGCAGTGCTCCTCAGCTATCCGGAACGGAATCAGAGTTCCTTGAGGTTCATTCCTCAGACACTACACCCCTCCCGATCCAATGGGAGGCGTTGAAGGCAGTGCTGAGGGGGCTGTTCATCCAACAGGGATCTAGACTAAAGAGGGAAAGATCACGTCAGGTTCTGGAAGCCATCCAGGCCCTGTCGACCTTGGAGACTCGCCACAAACACCCTCCTCGGACCTTTTGCTCTGCATCTCTCAGGCCAGAATGCAGCTTCTAAAACTTCTGGACCTGTCGACGCGGCGTTATATGGACAAACTAGCCACAAGAGCTTACGAGTCCAGGGACAAGTGTGGGAAGGCCTTGGCCCGGTACTTACACCCCAGACTAGCCTCTGCCTATATCCCCCACATCCACTCTACGTCAGGCACCCTGGTCAGTGCCCCCTCAGATATCCAGCGTGCCTTTGCGGACTTCTACAGTTCTCTATATAATTTATCGGACCCGGAGGCGTTTGCTTCAAGCCACGACGACGAGGTTTTGGCATATATTCATCAGACACCCCTTCCAAACCTAGGGGATGCAGACACGGAAGCTTTGGAGTCACCCTTCACGATGGAAGAATTGCTTTCTGTAATTCGGCTGTCCCCTACGGGTAAGAGCCTGGGACCTGATGGGTTTACGGCAAAATTTTACAACCTATTTAAAGACAAGCTTACTCCCTTCCTCTTGAGGGTGTTTAACTCCATTGCGCTAGGTGCCTCCTTCCCACCGCAAACGCTAGAAGCCCACATCTCGCTGATCCCTAAACCGGGTAAAGACCATACCTTATGCACAAATTACAGGCCGATCTCGCTCCTTAATATTGACGTGAAAATGTTTGCCAAATTAATTGCCAACCGACTAAAGCCACTCCTTCCGGGAGTGATCCACACTGACCAGGTGGGGTTTGTCCAAGGGAGAGAGGCACGGGATAATACCATCCGGACACTCCTGTTGATGCATCATGCTAAAACGTCACGTACACCGCTTTGCCTCCTGTCGGTGGACGCAGACAAGGCATTTGATCGCTTGGACTGGTGTTTCCTGCATCGTACTTTGGAGCAAATAGGGATTCGACCTGCCATGCTTCGAAAAATCATGGCCCTCTACTCGAGCCCATCAGCTAGAGTTCGCGTGAATGGATCGCTATCCCCTAGCTTTAGAATCACTAATGGCACCAGACAGGGCTGCCCGTTGTCCCCTCTCCTTTACTAGCCTCCTCAGGCACCTTCTCACAGCAGCCAGGACGGTGATTCCTCGCCATTGGCACAGTAGGGTGAGCCTGACCCTTGAGGAATGGGCGGTGGAAATGGACCGTATCGCCGACTTAGAGAATCTATTGGCGGAGGAACGAAAAGCAGGAGACAAATATGTACACACCTGGTCCGCCTGGCTCGTCTTCCGCAACTCAGATGGCTTCCTGGCAGCCCTCTCACCATGCTATATCCGCTTACGAGCACCACCTAGTCGCCTGGCAGGAGGTGGGCGTCTGCTGTATCCTTACCTACCTCCCTTTCTACTTCAACTGGTCTGTTGTCCCCATCTTTCCTTCCTTATACATGTACCCCTCCCCCTTATCCCTCTCCCTAACCAGTCTGTCATTGGTAATACCGGTCATCTCCATATTGCACAACAAGGCCTAGGGAACTCCTGGAGTACTCCATCCCGATGTGTCACATGCCCTACCGCCTGGACCCTATACAGGGGGGACTGCGATAAGAGACCCTGGGTCAGGAGTGGCACAAGGACCCATAGCTCTATGTTGAGATGCTCATTCTGCAACCTGCCATGGCACTCGGATAGAATTAAGGAACAGATGTATTACAGTCTAAACTATTGATGTTATCCACCCCAATACTCCTTGTCACCTTGTAATGTTGTATTATCCCTTTTTGTCTCCGTGAACCTGTGTTTTCACCTTTTTTCAAATGTAATTGAAACTTGAATAAAGTCAGATTGAACTAAAAAAGAATTTCCTGTAGTGTATAGCAAGATGTCCAAACATATTTTTTCAAAGTTCCTTTAAAAATAATCCATTTACACCAAATCAGTTAAGCGTCTAAAAAAAAAAAAAAAAACACACACAAAAAAAAACAAAAAAAAACACAACCTACTTTTATGGCCTACATTTAAAGCACATAAACCCCCCAATTAACCCATTCAAGTCAAGGGATAATCAAGGTGGGAGTAAACATGTGGATCGGATTAAACATAGGTACATCACCTATTCTATGTCTTGCTTGTGAGCATCGGGGCACCCAAGAAGGTATAGTTTAGCCATGTAGCCCAGATGTTGTAGAATTTATTGTATTGGTCTTCACAAAGATTAACCCATCTCTCTGCTTCCTTTATGCTGTTCACTTTGTTAACCCCTTCAGGGATCGATAGTGAACGATCTTGTCACCAGTGGAGAGACCCTTTGCAGCATTAAGTGAGGAGTGACACTGTGTTTTACATCTTTATAGAGAAGGGGGTAATATGAAAACAAATTGGCAGGGGGTCATCTGACAGATGGTCTACTATAATATCTCCTATGAGTTAAAGTATGGAGTCACAAAAAGTTTTAATATTTCGACATTCCACCATACGTGGAGAAAAATACTAGGTTGGGTGCAGCATCTACAGTAGGAGTCAAGAATACCGGAGGAAATGTGGGCTAGCTTATTTGGATTTAAAAAAGTCCCCCCTCCCCAGGTTGTCCTTGTAAACCAATTTACATTAAAGGAATAAAAGTCTCCCTCAAAGATGACCAATCCTTTTCTGAAATCATAAAGTTTAGTCAGTCTAATCTATGAATTGGAGTTGATTTGTGTGTTGGGACTTAAAATTGTTGCAGAGGTAAATTTGTTGCTGTTAATTGAACCCTTAAGCAAGAAGAGGCAACTTTAATGGCCAACGCTACACCTATTGTCTTAGTTAGGAACCATTGTCTAAATAGGTGTCTGGATAGGTGGTGCGGTTGAGGCAGAGGTAAAGTGAGTTTAGAAACCTTAAAATGTTACAGCACAGAGGGAAGATCTATAGGAACAGAGCACAAAAGGTAATCAGCTGGCTATAGCAATCCTAATTACTTCTTCATGAAAATCAATGTGATTTGTTTACATGCTTTAAGTGCCACACTGTAACAGTTACAGCAGTGGCAGTGAAAGGGTTAAATCAAGCAGAAAACTTGGTTGGCAACCACTTTGTTGTTACTGATCAAGTCTTCAGAACCCCTACTGCAGTCTGCAAATCAAAGTGTTCTCAAAGGGCTGCTGCAGCTGCGAAAAGGGACTTTAATGTCCTCCTGCCTCTGGGTTCTTCCCAGAAGGACGTGATTTTACAGTGGGGGTTGAGGTTAAAGCCCTGGAGTACCAAATTTATATTTATCACCTGCTGGCTGCACATTAGACCTTAACACACTACATAAAGACAAATAACATCATACATTTTCCTACCTACTACAGTTTGTCATATTAACTGCTGCCTAATGTTAACAAAATAGGTTATAGCCATGATTTTCCAATAACATAACAAAAAAAAAAAATTGCTGTTCACCTTGTCTACACGCTTACACCTCAGGGGCTTTACAGAGGATGCCTCACTGTTCCATGTCGAAGGATTGATGAAATACTCTGCTCTCACCCAGTCTCCTTTGTATGGGGTATATCCTACAAAAAAAAAAAAAAAAGAAAAAAAATGTTTTTTTAATTGGAAAAAA